ATTTCTTTCCTTTTCTGAAGTCAACAGCTCTTTATACCACCTTTGATGAAGTAAGTACACTTGTAAGGTAATTTGAAACAAACAGAACACTGTCTTCTTTTAAAATACAAATTAAAACGCAAAATTAAAGATCAGCCATAAATCATATGCTTACAGGAAAATGTCCATAGTAATATAAACCAAAAAAAGCTTATAATTGATATTTCTGGTTAATTTTGAGGCCCAATATTACCAATCTAGCTCCCAAAGCTATACAAAGCTCAAAGTTGGAAAATATCAAGGGATCTAACATGATTAGCTATAATTATTTAGAGGCTTGCATTTTAGATTTAGGGGTAACATCTTTTTTGTACAAGAAATATTCCCCAACTCCTGTTATGAGTGTGTAGTATATATTGATTCATTTAATCTGCATATTGGGGGTGTGAATAGTGAAAAAACCGCAGTTGAAAATGCCTTTTATTATCCGTAGAGCGTAGGCACTTGTATGTGTAATCGCGGATAGCATTCGTGTGCACCTGAAGTGTGACAGTCTGTAGGAAACCAAGGGAAGGGCCGCCTGTAGAGGTCTGGACATTTGGTTTTGCCTTTAAGACAACTGTTAGATTCCTAAGTGAGTGTGTGGTGGGTGAGTTAGAAATGTGCCTGCTTACTTGCAGAGCTTCTTCCATTAGGTGAATAATCTGCTATTATTTTAATGTAGAAGACCTTTGGTAATGTGAGGAATCGATTAGATAGTGCATTCCAGTCTCTGGAGGATCAGGTCTGTGGGATTGGTTGGGGTGGTTGGGCAAAGTCTATGGTAAGTTAAGAAGTGACTTTGGAAGTGACTCTAATGTGTACACAAACAACACACATGCACACACCACACATACATGCACACACACACATGAACACATACATCCATGCTGCATATACACACACAGGCCTATACACACTGTAATAGGTACACAACACACATGCACACACCACACATACATGCACACACACATGAACACATACATCCATGCTGCATATACACACACAGGCCTATACACACTGTAATAGGTACACAACACACATGCACACACCACACATACATACACACATGAGCACATACCTCCATGCCACATACACACAGGCACACACACCCCCACACCACATATGCAGGCACATATACTACACACACACACACACACACACACACAGGCACAGTTGCATATAAACACACAAATGTACACACCCTCACACCACATATGTACATACACATATATACACCACACATATTCACAGTCACATACACAAACACACGTGTATACAATTAATAGTATATTCTTAAAGTCATTACGTTGGTTAAGAAAATATTTCCTGAACACCTGTTTGGTGAGTTTTAAAGACTGTCCTCATGCCATTTGATTTTGCTTAGACCTTAGATAACAAGTTACACTAAAAGTACTATATCCATCAACTCTGAAAGTGCTGTATGTTTTTGTATGGAGACCAGTTAATCAATGTAGTTATTTTTGATGTTTTAGATACTGGCAAAACACTTGAATGATGGTAAAATCAATCAGCTTCCTCTTTTCCTTGGAGAGCCTGCTATGGTAAGTATTAGGTATTTTCCAGGCTAATATTCTTGTATTTATGGATGTCATCAGCACTTCTCTAAAATGAAATTAATTTTAGCTTGTGGTTTGCTCAAGAAAAACACTTCTGAACCATTCCCGTGCTGTCTCAGCTTCAGCCACCAATCAGCTGATGTTTGCCAAGCTGTCACTCCTTAAATGTCTTTTTTAAAGGCCTGATAATTTAGGTGCCCTGTCCCTAAGCAAAATTTGAATTTGTTTTTTACATGTATTTGTGCTGTAGAACGGACATGTATTTGTGCCTTGTTAAATGCAACAGTTAGGCCGGGAGTATAGGGTCACGCCTGTAATCCCAGCACTTTTGGAGGCCAAGACGGGCAGATCACAAGATCAGGAGTTCGAGACCAGTCTGGCCAATATGTTGAAACCCTATCTCTACTAAAAATACAAAAATTAGCTGGGTGTGGTGGCGGGCACCTATAGTCCCAGCTACTCAGAAGACTGAGGCAAGGAGAATGGCTTGAACCCAGGAGGCGGAGGTTGCAGTGAGCTGAGATTATGCCACTGCACTCTAGCCTGGGTAACAGAGCAAGACTCCATATCAAAAAAAAGCAACAGTCAAATGTGAGTAATAAGATTGAGTATTGGATGAAAAGAGAATGATTAATTGTTTAAGGCCATCTATCCTTTTTTTTAATATATTTTATGAAGATATTTCAGTGACTAATTTGGATTACAATAGGTGTTTGACATCCATTCCTTCTAACAGTCAGGCCACCTAGGATCATGCTCGTGGTCTGTGACTTTAGACTCTGTGCTCTGTGGACGTCCATTTCTGCCATCAAAAAGTGAGACGATTGAACTAGTTTAATGTTCTTTCCACCTTGAGTCTCTGTGACTCTTCTGACCAGTGGCAGTTTGCCCAGGGCAGCAGTTTTCTGACCTCTTTTCCCTATAACCTGTGGGAGAGGCCCTGGACTTGTGTCGTAAGAAGCAATAGGCTTTCGAAGGTGAAAGAGCAGATGAGAAAGTGCGGGGGCTGTACTCACACAAGCAAGAGCCATGATTTCTTTTATTGCCTTGGAAAAGCTCATTTGCAGATGTTCACACTCAGTTCCCTTCCTTGGAGGAAGGTGAAAACAAGAAAGACTGGAATTTGATGAGACTCCAGTACCACCTGGGCAGCTCTGCCTTTCCCCACAGCCTCTCCAGCTCCCTGCTCTGTCCCGTGGGTGCAGGAGAACAGCTCTCCCCAGCAGGGTCCCACCCAGGGCTTCAGAGGACTTGATGGATGCACTCTTTCCTTCTGTTAGCAACACCAAGCATAGCTCTCTGCTGCGGATACTAACAAAACATTTTCTCTGTTTAATTTCTGAAAGGAATTTCTCTGGGATTTCCTGAACCATCAGGAGGGTCCCCGCATAAGAGATCATTTAAGCCATGGGGAGATCAACTTACATGAATTTTCAAAAGAAACAACTAATCAGTTGCTTGCATTTTCTGTTGTACTGTTACTCAGATTCGTTGATGAAGGTCTGCTATCAGTTTTTAAGGTAATTTATAGGGAAGAAAATCATTAATTAGATTAACTCATTCAGCTATGAAAGAATATAGTTTATTTTTCAAATGCAATTAACTATTAATCATCTTTTAATATATCTGAGTTACAGTATCCTCCATCAGAAAAAAAAGTGATTGGATTACATGTATGTTTATATTCTATATCACAGATCAATCAATATTAATCTCAGCTAAAATAATTTAACTTGTTTCTTAAAAACACATTTGCTTTTGTATGTAACAGCAGCTAAGTATTGAAAATGAAAAAACAAATTATAAAACAGGATTAAACAAATATTAGGAAATTTTTACAGATGTTTGCTAAATCGATGGGGTAGGATATTTGCATCAATAAACTAATTCTTTTGTTATTTCAAAGTAATTTAGGTTAGAACATTTGTTATTGATATTTTAATCTTTTTTTCAGATTATACATGTGACAGTTATTTTAAAAATTTTTTAAATGTTCGAAAAATTACTGGAAATAGAAAAATTAATGTGAAAAGTAACAACCCTCAGGAATTCCATCTCCCAGAAATAACTACTATTAATAATTAGGTAGTGTTGCTACCACATTTTTGCTATGACTGTACCAAACTGAGTTCGTAGGAAGGTACGTTGTGTTTTATAGCTAGCATTTTTCATTAACAGTGTGTTTTTGGCATCTTTGTTCTGCCTTATTCTTTTTGTCAGCTGTTTGATATTCCATTTTATCAATATGTTATTATTTACCTAAGCAGTCCTTCATTGATGGATGAGTTGTAATATTCCCTGATGTAGAAAATTCCTAATTATTATGCTGAAATAAACATCTTTGTTCATTTGGGCACTTATGTAAATACTCTTAGAAAGTAAAGTTCTAAGACAAAAGATACCAGTACGGATTTTTTTTTTTAATTCTTTTATTTTATTTATTTATTTATTTTTTATGAGACAGGGTCTCGCTCTGTCGCCCAGGCTGGAGTGGCAGTGGTGCAGTCATGACTCATGGCCCATGGCAGTCTCGACCTCCTAGGCTCAAGCCATCCTCTTACCTCAGCCTCCTGAGTAGCTGGGACCACAGGCACAAGCCATCATATCCAGCCAAGATTATGTTTTTATTTTCATTTCTTTTTTTGTGTTTACTAGATGTTTATAATTCTCTCATTAATTGCTTATTAATGTATTTTCTCCATTTATTTCAGTTTTATTTTTCCCATTGGTCCATTAGCCTTCTTTGTGTACATATTGCTTTGTTATTTGTTCATAGGTTTTGATTTTTTTTTCTCTTTGGCTTCACATTTGGAGTCATTCTGAAAAGAATCTTTGCTTTTCAGAATTAAAAATATATGTATACATTTTCTCTGGTACTTCTATTTTTTCTTTTTTCTTTTCTTTCTTTTTTTTTCGAGAC